CTCATACATATGCATACAGGATATGTCTACAACATTGATGTGCTTTAGGCTCCTGAGAGCTACTCCAGTTAACTCCTGTATATCTCTTTTTTACTTTCGTGTCTACAATCTCTCAGTATTGATAACTTGTGGATCAGGTGATGGGCACTGGAACAGATAAGATCCGACCCTGCAAGGCAGATCTGAGCAAAGTTGGCAAGAACAGGGTGTCATCATCAGGTGTCTGGCTTTGAGCCATACTCAACCCCCTAGTCAAATGTGCCCAAAACACAGAAACTGTCACATACGCTTAGCAGATCATCCTTACCATAGTATCTAGCCTTAGAATGGGATTGGAACAAGACAAAGCAGAGAAAAAAGGTGAAAAGGAGATAGGCCTATACTGCTAACCTTTATGTGATTGGACATTCCTATAAACTGAGACCCTCTGTAAAACATGTTTGTATTTGGCAATAAAATGAACAGCTATCAGCCGCTCCCAGAGGGTGTTTCTCCCAGAGCCCGTCATCCTTCACCCCATGTCTGCCTGGACCCAGAAACTAGTGAGAAGAACCTACCTCGGATAACACTATGATCACTTTACCTGCGGTGATATTTGATTCTCAAAAAAGTCAATAAATTTCATAAGCATTTAAAAACTCTCCTCTATTGATCTTGCACAAATTTAAACCAAACTTCAATTTATAATCAGATTGTCAAGGTGAAAAAATAAATTTAAAATCCAGTTTGAACTTAGTATAGTATCAAATTCCTTCCAGTAGCAAGATTGTTTTCTTAATTTATTCACAATATTCTATATAGCAGGGCAATGAAATAATCATATGCACTCAACCTTTTTTAAAGGTTAGGCATTAATAAAGAAATATAGCTCTAGATTCATACTTTCACATATTTTATAGACCATCTTGGGTATATGGTATTCCAGGGGACAGGGTTATATTCAGCCGAGCTCAGGGATTAGTCTTAGTGCTAAAGTCCTCTGTGCTCAAGAGACACTCCTGATGGTACTCAAAGGACCATATGGGGTCCAGAAGATTGAACTCTGGCGCAAAAAAAGACACTTTCCAGGTGTACTATTTTTCAACCTCTAGAAGATATATATTTTTTAAAACTTTACATTTTTAGACTAATCTGCAAAATATTTGAGGGTCATTTAAAATAAAAATGACATCAGAAAGAGCAACTACATTTTAAAGAGAATGAAACTACAATATAATAGACAAATTATAAAGAGAAATTTAAAGACAAATTAAGTAATTTCTGCAAATTACTTATTTGTATTATCCAAAAGTACTATTAGCACTAGGGTTTGCAACATAACCAAAAAGAAAATATCTCTTAATAAAACATTATTTCTTTATCTTACCTACCCTCCTGTCCATAAACACTTGTGGTAGATTCCAACCATTGACCAGTCCTCCTAGCCTCTGCTTTCCCTGACCATGAACATTAGTCTCATACTATGTTTATATACCAAAAAATGAATGCAGTTATTCTATACCTGTCTCTCTCCTTCTGAGTCATTTCACTCAGCATGACCACTTGATCACTTGACATCCCTTTACTCATTTTTGAAGGTTCAGCAACTATCTCTCAACAGATTAACAAGACTAAAAATCAATAAAAATGAGAACTCTGAATTGGGGGCTGGAAGAACTCAATATTTCACCTTCAAAAAATCTATTGTGCATTTTTCTTGTGCATGGGACATTTCCCAAGATAGATCACTTGCTGAGATGACGTGTATCACTTGTATATCTTGTCATCCCATTGCTCATTGATTTGCTTGAGCAAGCATCAGTAACATCTCCATTCATCCCTGTGGCATGCTAGTGTCAGTTCTGCTTGCTCCACAAACACAAAGAGAATCAAAACATTCATTCAGGGTCTTGACGAAGAAGTCCGACCACCTTGTAGGTTGGCATCTAGGCATTCTTTTGACCTCCCATGGAATCTAGTCGATAATGGCTCTAGTCCTGTGGTGATCTCCAAATTGCATTACGTATCCAGTCCATCTGATTTTCGACACCTTGATAAATGAGACTGCATCCTTCATCCTAGATCATCAACAGAAGTTGGAACTCCAGATTCCTTCTCTCACTTGAGTGAAGCATGATACTCCAAGCATAGCTCTTTCAATTCTTCTTTGGGTGACCCGAATAACATTGTCATCCTGTTTTTGTAGGGCCCAGGTCTCTGAGGCATATGTTAGTGCAGGAAGAATGGTGAAGCCGAAAAGATGTGCCCAGATAAATTTACTAAATCCATGAAAATAGAAATCATACCTGGGACTGGAGTGATAGCACAGTGGGTAGAGCGTTTGCCTTGCACGCGGCTGACCCGAATTTGATTCTCAGCATCCCATATAGTCCCCTGAGCACCGCCAGGAGTAATTCCTAGTGCAGAGCCAGGAGTAACCCCGGTGCATTGCCGGGTGTGACCCAGAAAGAAAAAAAAATAGAACTTTATAATCATTTTTTAACAGCAAACCTCAAATTATATTGTTTTGGCAAACTGACCTATATCTCTATTGTGAGGGTTTCTGAATTTTCTCTAGGTCTTCTTTGACACAATACTTATTTCTGTGTAGTTTGTTGAAGCTAATGATTAATGTATTCAAATTGAATGCATTCCAGCAGGCCATAAGAGTGCCTAAATTTAACAAGGCATAATCAAAATTATGCATATTGTTTTGTATAAAATTGTATGCTTGGAATTAGAAAGTGCGAGACCAATGCTCTTCAAAATACAGTAAAATACTGGTATGAGAGCATTACCATCTTTATGTCAACCAAAATGATTAGTAATCATTCTGAAGGAAGTTTAATATCGCATTTATAATTTCTTAACAGTTAATTAGTTTATAATCTTTTACCGGCATTTTAAAGGATCCTTTACTAAAGCATTGAAATCTTAGTAACCTTCTTAGTAACCTGAAGAAACTTTAATAATGCAGTTTTGGGGCTTGAGAGATAGTATATCCCCAAGTTTGATGCCTGGTACCACATAGGGCTCTCTCAGGGCCACAAGGAGAATCCCTGAAAGCAGAGTCAGGAGTAAGCCCTGAGCATCTTTGGGGTTGAGCCAACAACAAAAATCCTTTTGGACATTATGAAATCCAACTTTTTTTCTTTTTTGGTCAAACCCGGCGATGCACAGGGGTTAGTCCTGGCTCAAGCACTCAGGAATTAATTTTGGCAGCGCTAAAGGGACCATATGGGATGCTGGGAATTGGACCCGGGTAGGCTGCATGCAAGGCAAATGCCCTATCCACTGTGCTATCACTCCAGCACCTGAAGTCCAATCTTTAATCTAATCTTTAGGCATGTTTTAGTCTATTTTTGAGTTTATTGGATATGCAAAAAAGTTATAAATTTATTCATGATTGAGTTTCAGATGTACAATAGTTCAACACCAATCCCTTCATACTTATCCACTTCTTGCCACCAATATCCTCAACTTCTCCTGCTCCCAAGCCTCCCTCTACATAAGATACTTTTTTTCTTTTAGTCACTGTGGTTTGAAATATTGTTACTGAATGGAGATTATGCATATCAATTTACCTACTTTCATTATCCAGTTATTTTCAAGAGTGATCACATCCCTCTCTCATAGTTCTAGTGGTTTCTTCACTGAGCCACTATGTGCGCTACACCATCGTAGCAAGCTTTCTATTAAGGAAAAGTCCTCCTGGCATATATTTCTGTTGTCTTGGGAATTATTCTACTACTGTTTCCATATAAGCCACAAATAAGTGTCATAATTCTATCTGTCCTTTTCCTTCTGATTCATTTTACTCAGCATGATACTCTTCATATTCATCAAATCAGTAAAATTAATGACTTAATTTTTTTCCTAACAACTGTGTAATACACTATTGTGTAAATGTACCATAGTTTACAATGACAACCTACAGAGGACAATTATTTTCCCAACACTCATCTGATAAAGAGGTTAATATCTGAGATATATGAAGCATTGGTTGAATTTCACAGAAAAAAATAATCATTCAATCCCATCAGAGTCTCCTGCCCCGGCACCTGGCTGTCCTCACCAGAGCCCCTTGGAGGGGGGTGAGTTGAGTTTCCCTCCACCCCCACCACCCCAGCAGAGCCCCAGAAGCTGAAGGAGGTCTGGTTCTGACCTCCAGAATCAGCCACAGCCATGCTGAGACCACTCTCCACATGTCCGAACAAGCCTCATGCATGAAGGAATCGGCAGAGGAACCCACGCATGTGGGTCCCGAGGCTGAGATCTACAAGCCTGCTCAAATCAGGATTGGGCCTTCTCCACCCAGATCCCCCATCTTCCAGTAGGTAGGTGTCACACCCACCAGCTGCCGCCAGCGCCAGGTTGGTCCCATCAATGGCCAAGACCCAGAGACTATAAAACCCAGCTCCTGGAAGCGCTCGGCCGCATTTGCGGCCACACAACATCTTACTACCTTGTTCTTACTTTGGAGAACCTGGCAGGCTACGGTAAGTATCCTGCCCACACTGCAGAGTCTGGCAAACTTCCCATGTCATACTCAATATGCCAAATACCAGTAACCAATGATGGGTCTCATTCTCCTAACCCTGAAAGAGCATTGAATATAGCTCTTAAAATCTCATGGCTAGGAAGAAGGAGACGTTACTGGTGCTTGCTCGAGGCAATTGACGAACAACAGGATGATCGTGATCGTGATCATGAATCCCATCAGAAAATGGGAAGATGCTGTGAACAGAAAATTCCTCAAAAAAAGAATGCAAATAGCCAAGAAACACATAAAAATGCATATGTCACTAATCCTCAAGGAAATGTGAGTCAAAAGAACAGGATATCACTTTAGATCATATAGAGTGGCACTCATCAAAAAGACAGAGGCTCAACAAAAACAGAGACTCACAAACGAATCTTGGAAGAAAGCAGCATTCCACAGAGATGTCTCCCAACCCTGAGCCAGTTTGATATCACTAGGGCACCTCGAATGGGGGCATGTGTCCCTCTACCTGCCCCAAATGAACCCTGGAAGCTGCAATCCTCCAGAACTCAATCACTGCCATTCTCATGACCAACCTTCACAGGCTTGTCCCAAGCCCTCCACTCATGTGAATGAATCTTCTGAAAAGCCCAGGTATGCAGGACTAGTGACTGAAATCTCTAGACTTCACGGATTCAGAGATGTACGATCTTCGACCTCATCATCCTGCCCTTCAGGTTTCCTGGCAGTCATACCCCAGAACTGCTTCTGGGTGCCACTTAAGCACATTAACAGCCATGATCCAGAGACTCACAAATGAATCTCAGAAGAGAGCACACATTGCAGAGATGCCTCTAGACCCCAATTATTTAAAATTTTTAGAATTCCAATAGTGTATGGCTGCAAAAGTTGCCATGTAACATCTCATGCTATTCATAACAAGCAATACAAAATAAATTATTTAGCATCTCTTTGTGGGGCAGGCTTGAGTGGTGGTGAGAAAATTCATGGTGGGAAGGTGTAATGGTGGTGGGACTGGTTTTGAAATATTGAATGTAATAAATTATTTGGAGCAACTTTATAAAAATAAAAATTTTAAAATTTAAAAAAAAATTAACAATAACAACCAATATTGACAAGAATGTGGGGGAAAAGAGAATTCTAATTTGCTGGTGAAAAAAGTCAACTGGTCCAGCCCTATTGGAAAACATTGTGGACATTCCTTTAAAAAAATAGGAATTAAGCTTTATATGACTCAACAATCCTACAATGGGAATATACCCTAAGAGCCCCAAAACACAAAAAAGAAAAGATATCTGCATTCCTTTGTTCTTAAAGCACTTCACTATAGCCAAAATAAGGAAATAAACTAAATGCCCAAAAACTGACAAATGAATTTTTAGTCTATTTTTATTAGTGTTAAGATGGACTAATCCTAACAGGATATCTCTATCACAACACAAAACAAAATATGAATCATAGTTTATTTGCAAATAAAATATTAAGTACAGTTTGGACGATTTATGCTATCTTTAAAATACTCCCATAATTTAGAAATAATCTTATCATTGGAAATTCCATCCCTAATGTGGAATGTCTGTCTTGGGGTGTCTTAATGTATATATATTTTTTATTATGTTTTCATGGACTAAAAATGAAATATGAAACTCTAATTAGGAACACTTAGAATCTTCTTATTCTTTTGCATCATTACAGAAATATATTAACACTATAAATTCTTATTTTTAAAGATGAGAGATTATTGGAAACAAATCACCAAACATGGGGGGGATATATTTGTCCACAAGATATCCAATAAGTTAATATTGTTAGTATTAAAAATATAAAAATAACTGCTTATACTGAACAAAAATTAGTCAGATTGGGTACAGGATGAGAATATAGGTGTTGGGACATATGTAAACTTTGATCTTTGACACCTGAACATTAGTGCATATAATCCTGGAGGTTATTGATTATTACAGAATATGACCTTGAAATCTTGGTCACTGCCAGGGTAATACTGGTAGTTCTCAATATGCAGAGGTCAAGCAACATCATATATTTTGTCCCTAGCATGGAAACAACTAATGCAATTTTCTGCATTGCAGGAAATAGAGCCTGATCCTCATGAACACTACATGGAACTCCCTACAACCACTGGAAAAAAAAAATAACTCTGATTTAAAAGTAAGTAGATGATTTTACCTGACAACGACTTGCAGATGATCAATGTTTACAATTGTTATTATCTGAAAAAATATAAATCAAATTAGCAATAAAAATGCCTATTATCCAAAGTGTGTGTGTGGGGGGAAACAAGTGCTAGGAAAGATATGAAGAGAAGTCATATTCTATTAAAAAAATAAATTTCAGCTAATGAGGGAAATACATTCTCAACTTATTTTTAAAAGTAATTAGTTACATTACTATTTATGTACTTCCTGAATTATATGTATATCACTTGACATTCTGTTACTCATCGATTTGCTCGAGTGGGCGCCTGCAACGTCTCCACTTGTCCCTGTTGCGTGCTAATGTAGCCCAATGGCAGGTGCTCATTCTAGGAACACGAAGAGCCTAAAAGCGATCATTCAGGGTCTTGACGAAGAAGTCTGACCATCTCATAGGCTGGCGGCCATGTAATCTTTTGACATCCTGTGGAATCCAGTCGGTAATGGCTCTAGTCCAGTGGTCATCTCCAAACCTCATTACGTCTCCAGCCCATCTGATTTTCAATGCCTTGGCAAACGAGACAGCGTCCCTGATTCTTGATCATAGACAGAGGTCAGAACTCAGAATTGTTTCTCTCATTTGAGTGAAGCGTGAGACTCGAAGAAGGATGCATGTTTGAATCCCATAAGATTTAGATTAGAAAGTAGAAAATTTACAGTGTACCTTTATCTGGTACCCAGTAACCCCTACTAAAGAATATTTGATGAGTATTTCTGAAAACAGTGAATGGACTTTTGAGGGTTATCTGAAAATGTGAAGCATGATGGCATCAGAGAGCAGGAGTGACAGCTGTGGTGCAGGATACTACCCATCTCCATCTGCTGTCAAAGGTGTGGGTATAGGCTAGCTCAGGTGCAGACCATGGCTTGCTCGTGGCTGTCCAAGGTTCCATTTCTCTGTTACTCTCAGAGAGCACGGCAAGCTACCGAGAGTATCCTGCCCGTAATGGCAGAACCTGGCAAGCTCCCCTTGGTGTATTTGATATGCCACAAACAGTAACAAGTCTCACAATGGAGAAGGTTACTGGTGCCCTCTTGAGCAAATTGATGAACAAGGGGACGACAGTGCTACAGTGTTACAGTGCTAACCTGATTTTTGATAATTTCATCTGTCATTTTGTTGTAATAGCAATATAAAGTAAATTATTTTGTTCCTGCTAAGGGGACAGGCTTGGGGGTGGGGCGTTTTAATGCCGGGAATCTGGGTTCCCAAGCAGTGAGATGGACAGAAACACTAACTCGATAATGCAAAAGCAGTAAGAGTTTTATTCCAATATAGTAGGGTGAACTATCTCACCCACAGAGTGGTCTCTTGATAGTGACCCTGACTTCAGGCAGCAAGCAGTTTATATAGGGTTTGATTACATAAGCAGTACTCTCCTTATTGTTTCAGAAAAAAATCTTACTTAGTTACCAAAGAAAGGTGTTTTGGCAAATGTCTAGGGTAATAGTGGTTAGGCAATAATTAAACAATAATTTCCAGTATTAGTACCAATTTTATGATTACATAGATTTCTCGTTCTTTTAGGGTTAGCAAAAAGCAACATCTGGGGCATTGTGAGAATTGATTCATTGAGCCCACTTGCTGTGCCCAGTAACTTTCCCAGGTAGGTTCAATATGGCTAGTTACACATTGTTTTATTGGTAGGAAACTGAATCTGTTTCAGTTCCAGGAACTGAATCTGAGGCCTACCTGATTTTTCTCATTTCTGCCTCCTGTAATGGCATCAGTTTTGCCCTTACAGGCACAAGATGGGTAACTGTGAACATTGATGGAAGGAAGATCACACTGGCGGTAAGGTTGGTGTTGGACCATTAAATGCCTGAATGAAAACAACTGCATTATGAGCAATTTTATAACTCACACAATTCAGATAAGGTTTAAAAATAAATCTATGAAATTTAAATGAAGCAGTATTTAGGTTCATAGTAATCCAAATTTAGTATGTAAATGTATAGTAATCCAGTTCAATGTCAGAAAATAGCCGTACATCTAAACTCACATCTAAACCAACTCTAAGAATAAGGAGGGCAAGGAATCCATTGCCCTGGCAGAAAACCACACATTCCATTTAGGTTGGAATCACACTCACTGGTGTCTGGACTTGACTACTGGTTGGTGAGGCTTGGGGAGCCATATGGGGTGCTAGTGATCAAACCTGGGTAAGCCACGGGCAAGGCAAGTGCCCTACGCGCTGTACTATAGGATGAAGGGGACAGCGGTGTAGGGAAGTGGAAACTGATGAAGGGATCTGTGTTGTAAGATTGATGCCTGGAACCTAATCATGTATAAGTTTGTAATTTCACGGTGACTAAACCAGTCAATTTATAAAAAGAAATAAATACTTCAAACACTTTGCCTCCGAGAGAGAGGAAAGCAGGGGAAAATGATTGCTTTGCGTTCAGCCACCTTGGCTCAGTTCCTGGTTCCAGATTTGGCCTACCAAGAGCAACCTATGAGCTCCTAGCCAGGAGTAAGTAAGCCCTCAAAAAAGACTTCTGTGTATTCCCTACCTACAAATTAAGACCCCAAAATGCAAGCATTGCAATAAAAAACACCATAATTTTATGTTTGTTTATATAGATTTCACATTTCACAAAACTGAAATCATTGATTGATTGAGCTAATGCTCAGGAGAGTTAAGTCATGTCTTGAAGTCCAACAGGGAATTAGAAGATTAAAATTCTAAACACATTTGGTGCTTTTCCTCTTGTAGTCTTTATATCTATTATTCTTTCAAATTTATTAGGGTACCTTGTCATTGCTTGTAAAGTTATCTTCAAGGGCACATTAAATTACAATTGCTTACAACATCACATGGCTTGATACGTTCCCCAGAGAAGATCAAGCTACTGACTTTTGGAAACAGGCTTTGTTTAATCAGTGATTGTTTGATGCAGCTTGACATGCTGTTAACAAAATCATCCCTTCTGTAGTTTCCTATTTACTGTTCTGCAAATATTTCCAAAGCAATCTGTTCACAAATGACTTGAAATGCTTTCCATCTCATACCAGGGGAATTTTAACTCTATCACAGCCAGTTGAATACATACATTTTATATACTATATGTGTATGACTCTTTTAACCTTGGATAAAACTTAGATAATTTTTCCTAATTTAATTTTATTTCAATTCTCACACTTCTTAATTATCATAAAGAATAGTATGGCAATCATTCCTCAATCACATTTTTATTGATATGGGAAATATTTTAAATGTATTTGAATTGCCTTTGATGAGTTCTGATATATTGGAAATTCCTGCATCAATACTATAAAAGCTATATAATTCTGTTTCTCACCAACCACAAAATAATATGATTTTAAAGTTAGAGGTTTCCCAGTTCTGAGAAAATTTAGGTCAAACATGTAATTTCACAGGTGAAGGACTTTAAAGCTTGTTTTATGATTGTATGGCC